AAAAGAGCAGTGCGTGACAGACAGCCCAGAAATCTCAAAGAACTGGAAGACTTTTGTATGGAAGAATGGGCAAAGATACCTCAAACAAGAATTGAAAGACTCTTGGCTGGCTACAAAAAGCGTTTACAAGCTGTGATACTTGCCAAAGGGGGCAGTACAAGATATTAACTCTGCAGGGTGCCCAAACTTTTGCAAATGCCATTTTTTTGTTTTCTGTTATTTTGAAAGTGTAAATGATGGAAATAAAATCTAACTTTTGTTGACATATTATAAGAATGTCTAATCTGTAATTTGATGCCTTTTGGAGATTTTTCCATCTTTCCTTGGCTTCTTTATGCACATTAATACAAATGTTTAGCTGGGGTGCCCAAACTTTCGATCCCCACTGTATATTGTCGAGTTGTAGTCCTATTCCGGAGTACTGCTGCCATTTGGCTAATGTTTGGACTTTCTATTTTTATTTTTCTGTTAATGATTTGGATACCTTTGCACATATAATAATATTTATTTATATGTGTTGGTGTATATGCACATAAGTGTTTTAGGAATATTTTTTATTATATCAGTGGGTTTTATGGAATTCACTGCTTGTGGATACTATTTTTTGGGTTTTAGCATGAAATTTACACTTATGTGACTATCGCAGCATTATTTTTCATTTTGTTACGGTATCAAAGGTTATGATGGCATATACAGTTTCCGAGAAAATGTTGTCTGATAAGCATAAGCGTGGTTTACACGGCCGCCAGCTGATCGAAAGAGACAGAAGGATATTGTTCAGGATTGTGACCTGGAATAAGAAAACAACTGCTGCAAAAGTGACTGCATAGTGTATATCTCCCTATACTGCTGAGTACTGAAAAATAACCATTGATCCTGCCAGAAGTAGCAGGCAGCTGATATAGAAATAGGATCAAGTACTGAGAGGGCTCATTCACACGGGGGCTTACACCTGTAGTCCGCGATTAGGCCACATCTTTAAAGCAGAACAGAATTGTAGCTGATCACCACAAACTGAAATTTAGTTTTTTTTTCAATATTTAAAACAAACTTGCCCATCATTTTATGTTTCCATGCTTTATTTTGTTGAGAAATCACTTTGAAAAACACCTCCCTAGTATTTCTAGCCATAATCATCTTGTGTAAGGGCAGATGATTCACGTAGTATTCACTTCCTGGAATCCATCTGCCCTTAGCTCAGGCATGCAGGTGGGAGGGTGTACATAGTAAAAAAACAAACCAAAAAAAAAAAAAAAAAAAAAGCAACTCAGTAATCTCTTAATTACACATTTTGTATTGGCTACATATCAAGGCAAAATGTGTAAAATGCTAATGCGTTTCAGCCACAACGGCCTTCCTCATAGCATACCAATGAAATAAATATTATTCTAAAGCCACTCTATAATTAATTACAGAGGTGGGACTAACTCAGTCAATTAGGAATAAATCACAGACCATGGAGTGAGACAGCATCTACTCCTGTCCAAATGTAACATCAAACTAATAAATACATAATGACATCATAAACGTTTAAGCAGTTCATATAATAATATAATTCATTTAAAAAATACATCAATAAATATTTAAGCAATTCACAGGAGGATGTGATTAGCTGAGAAAGCCTCTCCTCCAGATGAAAGAAAGAAATAAATGCCCATGAAGACATCTGGGATGTAAGACATTTTTTACGCCTAGGTTAGAAACCAGGAAGCGGCTCATCAAGCGTAATAAAAAAAAAACTTTAAAACAATAAATCTGAGATACCTTCCTATCTATTTGCTAATGTGAGCAGTGTAAGGATTGAAGATTGAAAGAGTTTGGTTCCACTTTAAAGCAGCTGGAGTCCCTGCATGTAGGCAGTCCATTCAATAGGAATGCAAAGACTACATGAACTTATCCAAAATTGACAGCCATGCAGGTGCATGGCCCAAGATGCACGTGCATGGCCCTAGATGCACATTTCCTGCATGCACCACCTGGTGGCTTTGGCTACTTAACCACTTCCCGTTCTCTTATCCTGAGTGGACATCATATGATGTCCTCGCAGTTGCGCACCCGCATGATCTGTGAGCTCTGTTTCCACTGGACACCACAGAACTGAGTGATTGGTACCAGGCCACTGTTCTCAGCCTTTGTACCATGTGATTGTTGTAACCAATCACAGTGATCACATACTCACAAATCAATGACAGCCATTCATGATTCATTATTTACTTTATTTATTAAAGCTGTGATTGGTCACAGTGATCACGTGGTGTACACGGCCTTGTAACACGATAGCTGAGGCTAATTACAACATCACACTAGTAAACAAGAGGCATGGATGAAAGCCATTCATTGCAGTTCAAATGATTGCTAACAAGCAATCAAGGTATAGAAGAAAAAAAAATCTCCATAGCCTTTCCAGAGTAGTACAGTGTAAATAATTGTAAATAAAGATAGAAACTGTAAAATATATGTGTGTGTGGATATATATGTGTATATATTTACTCGGTGTAGAGCTATTCACCCTGAGGTCATCACAAAGGACAAGGGGGCACTCTTTATGTCTGGAGGAAAAGAAATTTAATCTCCAAGCATGGAAAGGTTTCTTCAGAGTGAGAGCTGTGAAATTGTGGAATAGACTCCCTCAAGATTTGGTTCTGGCCAGCTCAGTGGATTGCTTCAAAACAGGCATGGATTCTTTCTTGGATACACAGAATATAACTGGATACTAACATTTATAGGTAAAGTTGATCCAGGGAATATCTGAGAGGGATCAGGAAGGGATTTTTTTCCCAGCAGGTGCAAATTGGATCATGCTTTGCCGGGTTTTTTTGCCTTCCTCTGGATCAACTGTGGGTATAGGATTATAACTTTTTTTTTTTCTATGGTTGAACTGGATGGACTTTTGTCTTTTTTCAGCCAGACTAACTATGTAACTATATATATATTTATTTTAACATACTGTCACCAATCAATGTCCTAGCTGTTGGTGACCGCATAACCCTGACAATCCGACAGCAAAAATCTGCAGATTCTTGACGCAGGAATCCGTCCACTGCACTAACCATGTGAAAGGGGCCTTACAGTGTCCATGATCACCACTACACCAGGTACAGTGTCCCTGATCAATGCCACACCATGTAAATTCTTCCTGATTACTGCCACAGCAGTCACAGTGTGCTTGATCACTGCCACACCAGTTACACTGTCCCTGATTACCGCCACAGCAGTCACAGTGTCACCATTAAGACTTATTCACTTGTGTGATGCTCTCTGAAGATCCATCCATATTCAGATGACTCTTCAGAGAACATTTGGAAGGCAGTGAGGAGGCATTGTATTGCCTCTTCGTGACCTGGTTTAATCCCTTGGACCCCAGTCACTTGAATGGGTCCTGATCAGAGGAAGTACAGAGGATATAATCACTGCCACGGCTATGAAGCAAACCATCGCAGCCATGGCATGTACTAACACTGGCCTGTTTATTGTCTCCATTTCTGCCTGTTGCTTGGACCAATTGTTTTGCTTTTTGCTGACCGCGTCTATGGTTGCACCTGAACTGACACATCTGCACATCCCGCTATGTTCCTGTGAGACACCAGTCCCAGCCATCCCCTGCAGACTGCACTCCTGGAGCCACAGGAACTCTTTTATGTTCTTCCCTTCTTTAACCTCCTATACTTCCTGGCCAGTGAACGTGGCAATCCTGGGGGCAGCCATGTACCAGTAGGATAGGCTTGCTTGGCTTATAGGGACTGCTATAGGTGACGCTACACTAAGCTATATTCTCTGACCACTCGTATAGAGGCAACCATTCAAGTACATTGGTCTTAACACAATTACTTGATTTGTGTGATACATAAGATACAATGTCTGGTATATAATAGGTTTGGTCTTACATATGTGGTAACATCATACTCAGGAGGAGGAGGAGTAGAATGTGGATTGGGGTGTAAATCTAAGCATGTGCATGCTCTGTGTGAGAAATATCTTATTAAATTTACAACTTTTTGTGAAAAAAAAATGTTTTTTTCATTCCACATTTTCTAAAAACTTGTGGAAACTTCAGAAGACTCACTTAGTCTCTTAGAAAATACCTTGTGGTGTTTGCTTTACAAAATATGGTTATTTTATGGGTGTTTCCACTTTCCTGGTGGTCCAGGGCCTCCAAAAATGGGATAGATAGTCAGTAAAATAGATGCGTAATTTATGTGTATTTTATGCTCCTTAAAAGCCAAAAGGCACTCATTGGATTTTGGGCCCTTCTATGCATCTAGGTTGTAAAAAAAAAAAAAGTATCTCACGTGTGGTATCCCCATATTCAGGAGGCAGAGCATAATGTCTTTTGGGTGTAATTATAAGTATGCCTATGATGTGAGTGAGATATAAATAGTGACAAAAACTATAACTTCAAAGAGCTCAACATGCTTCTTACTGAACACCTTGGACTGTCTACTTTCCGAAAAGGGGTCATTTGGGGGGGTATTTTTACTGTCCTGGCATTTCACGGCCTCAAGAAATGAGATCAGTACATTAGGATTGACCGATTTCCAGATACTGTATATATACACCATAGTTTGTAGGTGCTATAACTTTCACACAGACTAAATAGTATACGTTATTTTTTACCAAAGAAATGTAACAAAATAAATGTTTGGCTATATTTATGAAAATAAATATTTGCAACATTTTCACTTTAATGTTTGGTATTTATATAGCAAGAAAACAGTGGTGTTTAACTACTTACCTACTGGGAACTTTTACCCCCTTTCTGCCCAGGCCAATTTTCAGCTTTCAGCGCTCTCACACTTTTAATGATAATTGCGCGGTCATGCAACATTGTACTCATATGAAATTTTTATAATTTTTTTAAGTCAGATAGAGCTTTCTTTAGTGGTATTTAATTGCCTCCTGGGTTTTTATTTTTTGCTAAACAAACCAAAAATAACTGAACATTTTGGGAAAAAAACCCATTTATTCTTAGTTTCTAATTTTGTAAAGAAGTGATTTTTCTCCTTCACTGATGTGAGCTAATGAGTCTGCAGTGATGGGCACTGATAGACGGCACTGATGAGGAGGCACTGGTAGGTGGCACTGATGGGCATTGACAGACATCACTGATGGGCACTGAAAGGCAGCACTCATATATGGCACTGATAGGCAGCACTGTTAGGCGGCACTGATGCGCACTGATAGGTGGCACAGATAGGCAGCACTGACTGGCAGTGATAGTTGGCACTGAAAGGCAGCTCAGATGGGCACTGATATGTAGCATTGATGTGCACTGGTAGGCACGTATATGTGGCATTGATGTGCTCTGATGACCACTGGCAGGTGGCATTGGGCACTGGGCATTGATGGACTGACAGGTGGCACTGATGGGACTACACAGGTCATCAGTGCACTGACTACCCACCTGAATGAGACCTTATGGGGATCAGGAGAGGGGAATGTGTTCTGCAGGATAACTAGTTTTTGTTTGTTTTTTTTTAGCACTTGCAGTGTTTTCAAAGAGACGTGGATACATGTACAAGTATTGGACAGCATTGCTAAATGTGTTTCTTTTAGTGATTTTCTGCTTGAAGCTTGTCACTCCAAAATGCTCAACAAGTCAAATCCTATAAATGTCAATGACCCCTGTTCACATCTGAGCATTCTGTCGCCTGTCACAAAAATGCTTCGCTCAAAAAAATACATGAGCCTCTTTTTGACAAATTACAGGCATTTTTGGCTCCATAGACTTCAATGAAAATGCACAACGTGAGCGTTTTTGTTGCGCTTTTTCTACTCAAACAGCAACTCTCCACCCCTAATCTCCATCTCTCCTCCCACTAGTGCTTTATATTGGCTAAACAAAAACCCCTGAAGCTGTAAAACACTTCTAATACATTTCTATAATGCGTGTAAGGCTCCATGCTCACTGGGCTTAAAAAAAAAGATGTAGATAGATTTTGTACACAGTTTAGTTAAGTTTAGGAGAGTTTAGCATTTTTGAAGGAGGCCTTAGATTTTACCCAGGCATACGCTTGGCCTAGTTCACACCAATGCAGTTTTTATGTTTTTTCAATGCTTTTTGCATTTTCCTTTGCGTTTTTACCGTGTTTTGCATTTTGGGATTTTTTTTTGTTACAGAGGAAATGTTTTTGTTGCTAGGCAGCATAAAAATGCAAAACGTGGCAAAAATGCACTACATAACCTTAGACTTGGTTCACATCTGTGCGGGTGATGCCGCTGCGGATCCGCACGAAAATCCATGCATCCGCACCACCCGCACAAAGGAATGCAGACCCACGGGCGGGTGCCATTAATTCTAATGGCACGCCGCCCGCCCTGGAGAACGCAACCGTACTGGGAACCGAGGTTCCTCTGTGGGCTGCATTTTCAGAAGAAGTGCAGGGACTTCTTCCCTGCTTGTCACGGGGCACGGGAGCCTGCAAAGCCGCATAAATGTGAACCAGGGCTTAAATAGCGTCTCTATTGAACTCTATTATAGCAAAAAATGCTGATTTTGCTTTTAACTTCCTGACCCTTTCCAAAAACGCAGCTGCTCAAGAAAGCATAGATGTGAACATATCCCATGGGAAACTATGGTAAATGGACTGTAGTGCATTTCTGCAAAAAATCACTAAAGAAACGCATTGGTGCGAACCAGGCCTAAGGCTAGGTTCACATCTATGCAGTTTGCGTTTGACCCGTTTCTGCATTGTGTTTTGCGTTTCTGCCACATTTTGCATTTTTTTTCTTGTTGCTAGGCAGATTTAAAACGCAAAATGCATCAAAAATGAAAAGGCATGCTTTTTTGCAGCATTTCCATTAAATTCTGTAGAACCAAAAACGCAACTTTTTGCGTTTTTTGGAAAGGGTCAGGGACTTTTTTTTTAACACAAAACATTGCATTTTTGGCTCTATAGATTTCAATGGAAATGCTGCAGAAAAGCATGTAGTGCATTTTTGCGGCGTATTGCGCTTTTAATCTGTACACAGCGCTTTAGCAATCTAAATCAAATAGTTAGGCATCAACTTGTGCAGCTCAAGATAAATTTGCAGGACTTGGGACATTCCCTTACCCTAGGTTTACACCTAAGCGTTTTCTGCAGCGTTTTGCAGAAACGCACTACAGTCCATGTAACATGATTTCCTATAGGACACGTTCACATCTCCCCGTTTTTTGAATGCAAAACGTTGCATTTTTGGCTCTATAGACTTCAATGGAAATGCTGCAGAAAAGCATGTAGTGCGTTTTTGCGGCGAATCACATTTTAAATCTGCCTAGCAACAAGAAAAAAAATGCAAAACCACACAAACGCAAAATCATAAAATGCAACTCAGAAATGGGTCAAATGCAAACTGCATAGGTGTGTACCTAGCCTCACCCTAGTTTCACACCTAACCGTTTTACGCAGCGTTTTGCAAAAACGCACTACGGTCCATGTAACATGATTTCCTATGGGACACGTTCACATCTCGGCTTTTTCACCCGGTGTGTTTTTTGGAAAGGATCAGGGACTTATTTGAAATGCAAAACGTTGCATTTTTGGCTCTATAGACTTCAATGGAAATGCTGCAGAAAAGGCTGTAGTGCATTTTTGCGGCGAATCACGTTTTAAATCTGCCTAGCAACAAGAAAAAAAATGCAAAACCACAAAATCATAAAACGCAATGCAGAAATGGGTCAAATGCAAACTGCATAGGTGTGTACCTAGCCTCACCCTAGTTTCACACCTAACCGTTTTACGCAGCGTTTTGCAAAAACGCACTACAGTCCATGTAACATGATTTCCTATGGGATACGTTCACATCTCAGCTTTTTCACCCGGTGTGTTTTTTGGAAAGGATCAGGGACTTTTTAGAAATGTAAAACGTTGTGTTTTTGGCTCTACTGTATAGACTTCAATGGAAATGCTACAGAAAGGCATGTAGTGCGTTTTTGCGGCGAATCACGTTTTAAATCTGCCTAGCAACAAGAAAACAAATGCAAAATCATAAAACGCAATGCAGAAATGGGTCAAATGCAAACTGCATAGGTGTGAACCTTTCCTCACCCTAGTTTCACACCTAAGCGTTTTCCAAAAACGCACTACAGTCCATGTAACATGATTTCCTATGGGACACGTTCACATCTCAGCTTTTTCACCCGGTGTGTTTTTTGGAAAGGATCAGGGACTTTTTTGAAATGCAAAACGTTGCGTTTTTGGCTCTACTGTATAGACTTCAATGGAAATGCTGCAGAAAAGCAGGTAGTGCGTTTTTGTGGCGTTTTGTGTTTTAAATATGCCTAGCAACAAGAAAAAAATGCAAAACACATAAAAAAATGCCTAGCAACAAGAAAAAGTTTTAAAAAAAAATGTTTAAAACCGCAAAAAGCGTCAAAATCACAGGTGCAAAAATGCAATGCAGAAACGGTTCAAGCGCAAACTTCATAGGTGTGAACCCAGCCTTTGGAGTTTTTGACTTTAGTACAGCTGCTGTGTATGGTGGATATTGTGAGCATTTTACTGATTGATTTCACCTGTTGTCTGTGGCTGCCCTCTGACACTGCTAGAGACATTCCCTCGCTTTCCTTTGAAGTTCTTTGTGTTTGCGGTTGCTGGTACAAGCATTTCACTCGCTTCATTTATCTAACGAAGAAATCTGCAGGAACCGCTGAGTGCGGCAGCGAAGGGGTTGGAAGTAAGAAGTTGTCTTTGTGATTGCAATGTTCTGTTTGTCTGAAAATCAATGTGTACTGTGACAGGGCACATTCACAGCCCCGTCCCTGGGCTGCTATAAGAGGCAGACATCTCCTTTATTCGAAACTCAGTTGGGGCCTTGTTATTTTTATGGGTGCAGTAAGCCCACTCTGCGGGAAGAATGGATTTGTAGAAATAAAATGGCAAAGTTAGTGATAAACACACCCTGCAGCGAGACAAGAACATTCATATTTCTGCGATTCTTTGGCCATCTCATGCCAGACACGCTGGGAATGCTTTGCATTGATGATATCATTCAGAAGAACACAAACACTGAAGAAAACTTTCATTTCAAGCTACTGGATCTGATAAAGAGAGGATAACACTTCTGCACCGGCGCGCTGTGTTAGGCTAGGTTCACACCAATGTTTGCATTTGATCCATTTCTGCTGTGATTTTTGCATTGCGGTTTGCATTTTTGATGCATTTTGCGGTTTTTTTTTTCTTATTGGTAGATTAAAACAAAGCAAAAATGCGGCCAAAACACAGTAAAAATGCACGACATGCTTTTCTGCAGCTTTTCCATTGAAGTCTATAGAACACAAAAATGCAAAGTTTAGAAAAAAGTCCTCGACACTTTCCAAAAAAATCACCGGGAGAAAACGCAGAGATGTGAACATGTCCCATAGGAAGTCATGTTAAATGGACTGTAGTGCGTTTCTGCAAAACGCTGCGGAAAACGCTTAGGTGTAAACCTAGGGTAAGGGAATGCCCCAAGTTCTATACATTTATCTTGACCTGCACAAGCTGATGCCTAACTATTTGATTTAGATTGCTAAAGCACTGTGTATCATAAAAATGTGCCATTTCTTAAAATAAAATCCGGCTTGAACTTTTTTCTTTTCATTTTGTTGCATCTCAAAACTGTTGATCTCCTGCAACCTCTTTGCAGTCACTTCCACTCCATGTGCATGGTCTAGAGCAGTGGTGGGCAACCTTTTTTTTCAACTGAGCCAAATCTCGCCAAAACCATGATTGAAATTTATTTTGAGAGCCACATTTTTAAAACTGAAAATACATCCCCCATATAGTAATTCATCCCCCCATATAGTAATTCATCCCCCATATAGTAATTCATCCCCCATATAGTAATTCATCCCCCATAGTAATTCATCCCCCCATATAGTAATTTATCCCCCATATAGTAATTCATCCCCCACAGTAATTTTATCCCCCATATAGTAATTCATTCCCCGTATTGTGTCAATTCACTTACCTTTGCTCCGCGCGTTCCTCTCGCCGTGTTCCCGCGCCGTTCGGTCTTCAGGGCGGACTGTGAGAGGAGAGGAGTTCATCACGCTGCCCCGCCTACATCCTGACAGCCAATGTTTGCCACGCTCCCGCGGGATTAAAAGGTCCGCCGGGTCGTATACGGCCTGCGGGCCGTAGTTTGCCCATTGCTGGGCTAGCTGCAGAGTCCTGACTTTTGGGGTGGGGCCGCTCGAGAGGAGGGAGGGGAGCGGGCGCCCGGCACACAGAAGAGCCGCATTAAAATGTGTAAAGAGCCGCGGCTTGCCGACCACTGGTCTAGAGCCATGGCTGGATTTACAGTAAGGGCTCGTTCACACTTGGCTGTTTTACCAATGCTTGCCAAACTCCCCTGTAGCGTTTGGCAAGCGTTGGTCCAGCGTTTGCGGAACGCTTTTTAACGCTCGGCAACCACTCCGCAAACGCCACATGCGCGATTTAGCGGTGGTTGCTAGGCATTTGCC